GGCTTCTTCGGGCTTGTACTCGCGTTGATCATAAGGCCCAGTAGGTCTTTGGCGCGTCCGTCGGGCTTCTGTTTCTCCGAATCCTCCTTTCGGAGTCCGATAAGCGTGACCAGCTTCTTCTTGATCTCCTTGTCTAGCTTCCAAGTGCTCATGTTTTTCTCCGTCGGCAAGAATCTGCACGATCACAAAATTAAAGCGAGCGTTCACAACTGTGGCCAGTAATTATACATAACAATCAGAATAGTGATCAGGGGAGAAAAAAAAGAAAAAGAAAAATTTGAAATTACCTGTACCCGGGTATGAGGACTTTTCGAAAAGCTTCGGCGGCGAATACCATCTGCTGAGCCTGCAGTTTGAACACGGCCTTGCCGTCATCGTAGCTTCCACCAAAAGCGGCCCGGGTGATGGCGTCCTCCGTCACGCCTTGAAACCACTCCGAGACGTCGATCTCTACCTCGTCGCCCCCCGGCGACGACGAAGACATTGCCGTCCACTTATTCACCATGTCGAGCACCGTCTCACCTATGAGCGGAAGGATCAACTGCAGCACATTATACACAGAAACAAAGCAGAAGCCCTCTGAGTCGGAGATATATTAAATCTAGTTAGTTAGCAGATAAAAAAGATTCGAGCACGGCCGATCAAATGAACCGGTTACTCACCTTGAGGTTATCCATATGGAACGTGGGGGTGAGGACTTTGCGGTGGTGAGCCCACTTGTCGCCGCGGAGGCTGACGAGGCCCTCGCCTTCCAGCTGGCGCACGAGGGGGTGGGACTCGTAGCGGTCGAAGAACTCGGACCGGGACACGAAGATCTCTCGGATGAGGTCGGGGTCGGCGACGGTGAGCCTGGCCGTGGGCCCGAACCAGAGGAGAAACGTGGAGCCTGTACGCGACATATAATGGACAGCCCATTTAGATGCAGCAGGAAAAACAAAATTACAAATCTGTCCCTATAAACCCAGGGAGAGTACAGAGAGGAGAGAGACGATACAACTGGGATCAAATCCCTGGAACTGTAAAAAGGCCTGCTGATTGGATAGGGGAAGCCCAAGGTGGTATAGCGTAGCAGTAATTAATTACACTCAGAACCCAAAAAAAAATGGAGGAAATTTTTGAGTATTCATTTTCGGCAGTACTACTATAGTATCAATAACAAACCTTTTTTTTTTCAAAAGGAAAGAGGGGGAAAAATGGGTAATATATATATATATATAGTACAAACAGTAACCCAAAAAATTGAGAGAAAATACGAAATGGGTATTCTTGGGTGGCATACCACAAGCAATTAAAGCTCGAAAGCCGGGCAGAATCCATGCTTAAAAATCGAAATTTTGAGAAATTAAAGGAAACCTCCCGCATGCAGGTACACTAACAATCAGCAAACTTAAAATATGTGGAGCTTTACCATAGATCTTCTTCCAGTGAGTGTAGAAGGCCAGCACTCTGGGTAGAATATTATGAGAATTGGGATTAGCCATAGGCTTAGCAGAGCCCTCAAGCATGAGGCCGACCATCTCCTTCACATTCCCGATGAAAATCTTATAAGGTGGGCCCCTGATCCCCTGGGCAGCGAAGTGGGCTCAAGCTGCTTGGGCCTCCACCAACCGCCTCCATCACCTTCACCCCATCTAACCGCCATTAACAAACCCCGAGCTCAAGAACACCACCACATTTTTCTCGCCCCCAATTAATTAATTATTAATTTTTTTCCTCTAAAGAAAAGAGACGAGTTTGGAGATTTAAGAGAGAGGGGGGGTGAAGGGGGGTTTATATAAGGGGAGACGAGAGGGCAGGGTCGCGCGGCCGGCCGCGAAGGCTAAAAGGGTCAACGAGGGAATAAATTATTTGGGGCCGGAATTACGAAAAGGCTAGCAATCTGGGACTTGCTTGTGGGGGGAATTCTTATATATAGAGGGAGGGGCTTGTGTTTCTTGAGGAGTGAGTTCATTTTTGAGGTGAGGTTTTTTTTTTTTTTTTTTATTGGCCCTGGAGTGGGGGTTTTAAACTCTTTCTTCTTCTTCTTCTTTTCCACTTTTCGCACCTTGTGAGAGATAATGATTTGTGTTCTTAATTTTGTTTTGGGATTTTTACGTTTATACCCTGCGCATCTAATGTATTTGCAAATGGACCCTCTGATTTTAGAAATTTACTCAATACCCAAGTCCTCAATTTTCAAAGATTGCTTATATTGATCAGATTAGATAGATTAATTAACCTTCTTCATTTAAGATGCGTGGTGTTTATATATATATTATATATTATATATATATATATATATATTAATTGAGCTAGACTACTATTGATCAGATTAGATTAGATTAGATTAATTAACCTTCTTCATTCAGATATGTATGTATGTGTGTGTGTAGTTGAGCTAGGGTACTATTAATAATATCCAACTATGTAGATACTATCAACCTAATTATAAAAATCGAAACCTAAAAATAAAAATCCAAACCAGTAGATGTGATCTAGTGCACATGAACTAGTCAAAAATAAAATTTCAAAGGATTTTATCATCATTAACCCATGCAAGATATGTCGTCAAAATCAATGTTTCAGAATTTCCATGAAGTTGGTTAATTTTCGTCTCTTGATATACAATTCAAAACACGTTGTTCACTTGGAATTTTATTTTTAACTAGTTCATGTATGTATGTGTATACATACATACATACATACGTGTAAGTAAGTATGTATGTACACATATATCATAAATTAGCAGATATTTAGATTGGCTCGCAAATTTGCAAATATGGTTTGGGGGTTATGGGCAAAAAAATCATTTGTTTTCTCTCTTATGATATTCTAGTGTTTTCGTAAGTTATATATGCTTCAATTTTGTATTGTCAGGTTTTGAGCATGTTTGAATGAATTTGTTGACCTATTCTTGGAGATGATAAAGTTAAGATTTTTAGTCCTCAAAAGAAACGTGACATGCGTA